CCCCGGGCGGGGCGGGGCGCTCACCGATGGCCAGGGTGACGAAGGCCACCTGGATGAGCAGCGACAGCCAGCTCAGCACGTACATGAACCACATGGCTCGCCCGCCGCTCTCTCCGGCCGCCGCCCCGGCCTCCCTCGCTCGGGCCGCGGGGACACGGAGCCGTCGCCGCCGCCTCAGGCCCCGCCCCCAACGCCGCCGACGTCCCCGGGAGGAGCCGCGGGCCGGAGCGCGGCGGCTCGCACCCCACAGCGGCGCCTGCAGGCGGGAGGCCAGACTGCAGCCGCCGCGCCCGCCGGCCGGCGCAGAGCCGGGAGGGGCCTTGACGCCACCTGCTCCAACCCTCTCATTTTGCAGAAGGGAACACTGAGGCGGAGGGCCTCGGAGAATGACGCCTCGCTGCCAACCCTGGCTCTGCCCGCTTCCTACCCGTGTGATCTTTCTCAAGTCCTTCCCAAGCACTAGCTGGCCTCGGGGAGACCAAGCTTCACCCGGGACACTGCAGTGGAGTGGCCCCGGGTTAAAGAACCCGAGTCTGGTCCCTTCGTGCTAGTGCACAAGTCACTGACCTTCCTCTAAAATAACGCGCCAGAAGACCTCCGGGGGCCCTCCAGCTCCCCATCTGTGATCCGGGAGATGCTGGGACTCTGCCAGTGCTCAGCCAGGTCACAACGGGACTGCCGTGTTGGGTTCTAGGCCCCACGGTTTATGAAGACATTGATTAAGTGGAGAGTGACCAGAGGAGGGCAACCAGGACGGTCCCAGAAGGAGACTACCTCAGCGTGGAGAAGAGACACAGAGGCGGAGGTGGGGGCGGTCCTCTATTACACGTCACCCCATTATAAAGCATGGGGAGCTCAGGGGGACCAGCACCTCCAAAGGGAGGGCTGCCCAGCCACTTTTGGTGTCCACCCGGCACCCAGCTCTCATCTGTGGCTCAAGAAGCTGTAGCAAGCTCATCAGCCGTACCCTGGTAAACAGTCTGGGTGGATGGGCTAAGCCACGTTCAGGGTAACCTCCGAGCCCCACACCCTTTGGTGACTTAGGGGGGTGTCTATTCCAAGCGGGTGAAGACTTCCCCCAGTGAAATGGGCCAAGGAAAACAATTGGTTCCAACGGCCATGAAGTAGGTGCTGTGCAGGCTTAGAGTTTGATCAGACATAGAAGATGCCAAGGTCATCCACCGCATCCTGCACCATCAATGGTCATAGGGACTTTTGTCCTGCCCTAGATTTCTCTGACTCTGGGAGAGGCTGATGACTGTGCAGCCCTGCCTCAATCCAATTCATGAACAAGCCAAGACATCAAAGACAAAAAACAAACCCCAGCCCTCCCTGAGAGCAGGGAAGGTGGATGTTCTGGGGAGGGGCTCTTTGTAGCCCCAATGCTTGACACAGTGCCTGGCACACACACAGTAAGCACTTAATAAATGCCTGCTGAGTGACTGACACAATGACTGCCTTCAGGTATTCAGAGGGCTGTTGCTCAGCCCCTGAAGGCAGGGTTAGGTGCAGAGGGCACAGTGGCAGGTCTGCTGCATAAGAAAGAGCTTCTTAAAAACTGGAGCTATTCAGACATGGACCAGACTACTTCCCGGGGCAGTGGGTTCTCCATCACAGGAGGTTTCTAAGAGGAGGCGGGATGCAGGAGAGGAAATTCCAAATGGTTCTGGAATCCCCATTTGACAAATGAGGGAAATGGCCAAAAATTGTCCCCATGCTGTGACTTGACCATCAGACTGGTCCTTGAAGGCAGGGGCTGTTTTTTGGCATTCTTTGTATCCCCAGCACTTAGCACAGTGCCTGGCACACAGTAGGTGCTTAATAAGTACCTGTTGGCTTGCCTTGCCTGAGTTAGCAGTGGAGCTTTTGGTAGGATGAGTCCTGGGCTCTTCCTCCAACCTGAGATCTCTCACTCTCAGAACAAGGGCAGACAGCCCCAAGCATGTTCTAGAGGGCTGTCATGGAAACAGCCCTGGAATGCTCAATCTTAATTAAAAGTTCTAGCCCTCTGTCCTCTGGCAGCACCAGTGAGGAAAGAAAGCCTCTCACAGGGGCTTAATATTGGAGGGGGGTAGAGTTGGAGTCCTGTCCAACTCTTTGTGACCCCATCCGGGGTTTTCTTGGCAAAGACACTGGACTGGTTTGCCATCCCCTTCTCCACTCATTTTACAGATGAGGAACTGAGACAGAGTTAAGTGACTTGCCCAAGGTCACACAGTTAGTAAGTGTCCAAGGTCGAATTTGAACTCAGGTCTTCCTGACTCCAGGAAGAGTGCTCTATCCACTGTGCCACCTCGCTGCCCAAAGGTAGTAATGCGATAGCCCTTGCTCCTTAATCTTTTTCATACCCTGGACCCCTTGGGCAGGCGGGAAAAGACCATGGCCCCTTCTCAGAAGAATGTGTTAAATGCATAAAATAGATAAGATTACAAAGGAAATCAATTATATTTAAATACAGCTATCATGATATTAATTTTTTAAATTTCCTGGCACCTAGGTTAAGAATCCCTGCCCATCTCCTCTGTAGAAGATGAGATGAGGAGGAAAGCCAACAGACTGTCATAGAAAAGGGCTTTCCAACCCAAAGATGACCAGAGGAGGGAGGGAAGAAGTGAATTGGGAGGAGGGGGGATTTGCTGCCCCCATGTGACAGCCATAAGTAAGTGGCCTTGGCTCTGGCTGCGGAGGGCAGGAAAGCTTCTTATTAATTCATTCGTTCCATAAACATGTCTTAAGCACCAACATTGTGCAGGGAACCAGGAGCTGAGGAAAACACAAAGTTCTTTGCAATTATAACACACCATGCATGCGGCAGCTCTCGCTCATGCAACGTGGACCCGGAATGGCATGGGGGGATTTATCGGCCAGTCCATCCAGATCGAGCTAGAGATGAGGAGCTGGAAGGCTGGGAAAGTGACAATCACCCACACAGACATATGGACACACACGTGCCCACACATATCCGGGCACTCGCACCCTGGAGAAAGCCATCAGGAGGTGTGAGGGCCTTCGCAGCCTCTCTGCTGCTGTCCCTTAAGTTGTGAAAAAAGCTCCAAGTTAATTCACAAGCCTGTCAGCTCTGCCCTGGGCTGTGGATCTGGGAGGGGATCAGCGGAGAAGAAGGAACCAGACCGTCCCCTGCACCCCATCACTTCCAGGGGCTCACACTAAGCCAAAAATTGTATGGAAAGTCTCCTCCTTTTCATTCAAATACTCCCCCCTTGCCCTCACCCACCCCCAATTTTGCTAGCATTGGGTGAGCGATTGTGTATAATATACTTCTATCCCCAGCACCAAGTCTAGGACCCTGCACATAGTAGGCACTTAATAAATGCTTGCTTATTGAGTGATTGATTCATGGGGATAAATTGGACTCAAGAAGTCTCCTTTTTTCAACTCTGCCCTGGAACTTTCCCATCTCCCCACCTTTGCTCAGGCTGTTTCCCATACCTGGAACACCCTCTCCCTCCCATTGTGACCACTGAAATCAGACCCATACTTCCAAGCCCAACTAACATGGAGCTTACCTTGAGTCTACCAGTCAGAAAGGACTTTTCTCCACACCTCACATAGAACTTTATTTGCACCTCTCTGATGAACACTCAACATTATTAAATTTCTCTCTTACCTCTGTAAAAGACTAAGAGCCCCATAACATCAGGAGCTGTGGGAATAAAAGCCCTCCGCTGGGGTGTGTGTGTGTCAGAGAGAGAGACAGACAGACAGACAGACAGGCAGACAGACAGAGAGACGGAGACAGAGAGATAAAGCGACAGAGAGAGACACAGAGACAGAGACACAGTGACTGAGAACAGGAACTGTGCCTCACTGTTAGCCCCTGGAGCCCCAGAAGGGCAAGGATTATCATCCCCAAGGACCTAGAGATCCTCAAAGCCAGGATTGCAGGAGAGTTCTGAAGCCCCCTGAGGGCAGGGGGGACTCCAGGGACCAGGCTATCCCTATAAGATCTACAGGCCCCTGAGGGTAGGGGTGGTCTACCCCCTAATACCCAGGGCTCCCTCAGGGCAGTGACTGCACCTGTGCCCCTTTCTGAGCTAACTGACCTGAGCAGATGATAAACACCACATTATGAGGAGGGACATAAGAAGAGAAAGACCCACTCAGATCATCTGTCACTTCAGTTTAAATCTCCCCCTAGCCTCGACTCTTTATGCCACACAATTTCTCGCTGGGTGTGGAAAAGCCAGATGCTGAAGGAAAGGAGAGGGGGTTGATAGATATCAGCCTAGAGAGGGAAAGGTCAGACCTGTCTTCTCGGGATACCCCTTCTGAGCCCATGAAGTAGCAGGCCAAAGGCATTTGGGGCTAAGGGTGAGATGAATTCTGGAGCCCCCATCCCCGACCCTCAGTCTTCCCATCTCTAGCACTCAGATCCAATCAGTGGACCTCGGCCACATCCCTGATCCTTACTCCCCATCCACGACCCTCAGTGCCTATTCCCAATGCTCAAAAGTAGCCTGAGCCCCCAAGTGTCTCCGGAGCTCAGCCCTCAGTCCCCTCCCTGACTCCGGGCTCTCTGGCTGAGGAACCAGACTCTTCATATTGTACCACCTCCTTCTTCACCCAAAAGCTCCTTGGAAAGTGCCAGGACACCCCTCCTGCAGGAAATGCTCCTTTGACTGACTCCTTCCTCTTCCTCCTCTCTCGTCCTTGAACTCCACCGTCACCGCCCCCAAAGCTGCAAAAGGACACTCCACAATACCCTAATAAAAGTCCCATGCTCCCACCTTGGCATTTGGCTTATAGTCCAAAGTGGGGGGAGGGCATCAGTCCCATTCCCAGCAAGGCCCTGGGAGGAGGCAAGCTAGACAGCTTGGAGGGGGAGGCCCTGGGTGGGGCACAGGGTCCTGGCTCCCTTTCCCTCCTTTCTGCCGTGACAGACACCAGCTCTTGTATCTTCACTCTGAATCAAAGTCACTATTGCTGAAGAAGCAGTGACCACATGTTCACCCCAGTGGCCAATTCCACTCTGGAGTCCCTGCTCCCCTAAGATTCCCCTCCCAGCCTGCAGCACTGCCCTCCAGTCTTCCTGGAGAATCATAGGGTGGCTGAGGGTGGGGGTGAGTCTGAGAAAGGAAGGGAGGATGGAGGGAGAGAAGGGCCAGACAGGGAGTGGGC